TTAAAAGCTAAAAATTGATTTTTAACTAGCTTCCCAAATAAGTCCTATATATCTACTTTTATACATAATATATATATTTTTTTAAATATCTAAATGCACAAGTTAACAAAATCTACAAAGAGCAATGATAAAAATAAAGAATTGGAATACAAAAAATATCAAGAAAATTGATTGTGTGATTGAATCTAAACCATCTTTTCTTTTCTTTTTTTTTTAAATATTTTTGTATGTATCAATTGTGTGCACATATCTTTATTGATCTATTTATATATATTGGTTGAAATAATGCTTGTCGTGTATGTTATCCCAGTTAGGCAACCCAAGAGGGGGGGTGAATTGGGTTATTAAAAATTTCACAATATTAAATATAACACAATATTCAGAAATATTAGAGGGATGATAAACTAAGAATTCTTTATTTAAAATTTATTTATTTATGTAAAAATAATAATTAATAACTCAAATTAATTTCCCTTATAAATCTTACACTTCACCTATTTGATTTCTAACACATAAAATAACTCTAAATAATTTCTACGAAGATAAATTTAAATTTCTAACCTTTTTTTCCCTCTATATATCCAAAACAAGTAAGCAGCATCTTATAGTACAAGTAGTGCAGATCCACATTATAAGCTTTGCTTGGACACCATTCGTCAAATAATGCATCTTATAGTACAAGTAGTGCAGATCCACATTATAAGCTTTGCTTGGACACCATTCGTCAAATAATTGGTATGGATCCAATGCCCATCCGGACAGATATTATGTCACCGCAAATCAATAATTCAATGGCTTTGGAGAGTTAGAGAAGTGGTGGGGACAGATGAAATTTATTAATATTATATTTATTTTGAAGGATGCGGAAATGATTGATAGTGAGTTTTGGATTACGAATCCTCTTGGGAGGAGATTTGAATGGACTTTCAAGACTTGATATTAGAAAAATAGTTTATCGGACTACAAATTTTTTATTTTTTATTTATTTTATTTTTTACATGTTGGGTTTTTTTTTTGAACATTAATGTTTAATTTTTTATATTTTTTGTTAAGTAAAAATCATTATTCTATTTATTTTTTATTTTTTTCTGATTTTTTTTTTATTTTTTTAATTTTTTTTACATGTTGGACATTTTTTTTAAAACGTTATTGTTTAATGTTTTTGTATTTTTTTATTTGTTTTATTATTTTATATTTATTTTATAATATTTAAAATAATATTTAACATATATATTTTAAAAAGATAATATTATTTTATTTAAATAATATTTAACAAATATATATTTTTTAAAAAGATAATAATTTGTGTCAAATAATATGTATATTAACTAATATATTTTAGACATCATCAAAATTAAATAATATGATTAACAGTGTAGATATTAGTTGGTTGTGAATTCATGATTTACATCTAAATCATATTAAACTTAAATATGTACTTATCTTATATTATTATATATTAGAGGGATGATAAACTAAGAATTCTTTATTTAAAATGGATTTATTTATGTAAAAATAATAATTAATAACTCAAATTCATTTCCCTTATAAATCTTACACTTCACCTATTTGATTTCTAACACATAAAATAACAAATAATTTCTACGAAGATAAATCTAAATTTCTAACCTTTTTTTCCCTCTATATATCCAAAACAAGTCAGCAGCATCTTATAGTACAAGTAGTGCAGATCCACATTATAAGCTTTGCTTGGACACCATTCGTCAAATAATGCATCTTATAGTACAAGTAGTGCAGACCCACATTATAAGCTTTGCTTGGACACCATTCGTCAAATAATTGGTATGGATCCAATGCCCATCCTGAGAGCCATTCGTCAAATAATTGGTATGGATCCAACGCCCATCCGGACAGATATTATGTCACCGCAAATCAATAATTCAATGGCTTTGGAGAGTTAGAGAAGTGGTTGGGACAGATGAAATTTATTAATATTATATTTATTTTGAGGGATGCGGAAATGATTGATAGTGAGTTTTGGATTACGAATCTTTCGAATGGACTTTCAAGACTTGATATTAGAAAAATAGTTCACCGGACTACAAATTTTTTATTTTTTACATGTTGGGTTTTTTTTTGAACATTAATGTTTAATTTTTTGTATTTTTTGTTAAGTAAAAATCATTATTCTATTTATTTTTTATTTTTTTCTGATTTTTTTTTTTTAAATTTTTTTACATGCTGGACATTTTTTTTAAAACGTTATTGTTTAATGTTTTTGTATTTTTTTATTTGTTTTATTATTTTATATAAATATAATTTAACACTCTCCATACTAACAATTATTATCAAAATAAACATAATTTTATTTAATCTTCTTATTATAAATCCTCTTATTTATGAATCTCCTTCATTATACCTCTAAAAACAAACGGGTCAATGTGAAATCCACACACTCCATATTTTATTTTATTTTATTGTAAATGGTCTATGCTTTGGCAGTCATGTAATATCAATGTAAAGTGAGAAATTGTTAGGTAAGGCGTGGTTTGGGGTACTTTATAAAAGTTAAAAAATCAAAAAGTTTATATTATTTGGAAGAAGCTTATGGAGAAGGTTAGAGGGTAAAATTATTATTTTGTCCTATGAATTTAACTATCCAAAAGTTAAAAAGTTAAAAGTCAAAAAGTCAACAAGAGTAGAATGATCATTTTAATTTTACTATAATATTTTATTTCACATTTTTTCATAAAAAGTTTATCTTTGTGGTGTTTGTCTCTCGAGTGTTCTTGTAGTGTCTCAAAGGGCCTATTTGTTTTTAAATATAGAATGGAAGAGATTGTTAGTGAATGGACTATTAGTGAAGGGACTATTAGTGAGAGGATTAAGAAAAAATGTGTTTGTTTAATAACTAATGGACTAGTAATAGTTTATGTTTGTTTTGAGAGATATGAGTGGGATTAACTATGTAAAATTCCACAAATACCTTCTGCATTATTATCAAATTTGGACTTATACCAAGCAAAGAATAAATAAATTTTTACTAAATGTTATTCTTCTTATTTTTTTATTTTTTATTTTTAAATATTAAAGAATCCAACTATGATATTTTTTTTAGTCAAATTATTCTTTTTATTTTTTTTATTTTTAATATTAATGAATCCAACTACCAATAAATTTTTACTCAATGTTATTCTTTCTCTCTTTTTCTTTTTCTTTTTTTAAATATTAAAGAATCCAACTATCAATAAAACTTTACTTAATTATTTGTATTTAATATTACATGAGCCATAGTATAAGCTTCATTACAAGTATTATGACTCTCATTCCATGAGTCATATTTTTCATAAATAGTCTCAAAAAATCTAATAACCTGTTTATTACAATCTGTCCAACGATTATAAATTTTGGGTATCATCCCCACAAATACAACATAATATGCTTGCTTCTTTGCCATTCCTATTACCATATTTTAAAAAAAAATTAATAGAGAGAAAATTATGACAGCAAGATACATTCCTTGCCAAAACTTAATGAATCATAAGACATATCCATACATGAAACAAAAGTTTAACCACCAAAACATACTATGGAAATGCATCATGAAAGCGCAAGTCTACATATCCATAATTGCTATGCAAAATTATGTACCATGAAGGTGCATCCACGATAATACCTAAGTTATAATATTTATGCATCACATAATATATTACCGAAGTCATGTGGCAAACAAAAAGACCATCATAAAATAGATGCTAGATTCAAATATGACCTTCCAATAGCAAATAAACCCACTCTATCTTGTCATTATCATCTAAACTGAAGAACAAGTCAACTTTGTCATCGCCTTTCACTATCATTAATGCTGCCATCAACCTTTGGGTATTACTCATTTGCAACTTCAAAAGTTCTACATTAACCAGCCTCTTTTGTTGGGATAGGTTATGTGAATATCCTATCCTATGAGCAATCTCCACCATCGTAGTATTAGTATTTTCAATGAATGATCCAAGGTTTTTTGCCATCTTTGATAGTTCAGTGGGAATCCCCTTAGCATGTCGACGCTGTTTTTTCCTAATTTTAGTAGAGTTAGCACGGTTGGGAACATTACCTGAAGTAGACAGTGAATAGTCCATATCACCCATGTTCATACTAAACTGTTCAACATGAGACTCATCTCTTTTTTCTGTAGTTGCATTTGCATCCTTTTTTCCCATGGTTGCAACTGCATCAGCATGATCCTCAGCCAGTTCACCATTCGCCCTATCCTTCCCAAATATAATAAGCCAATCTTCATAGAACAAGAATGGCCTATTTCGTATCCTTTTTGCATTTGGCACCCTCTACACAAGTGATTATCCAATTATTAAAAAGAACAGATTGATTTATAAGTAAAGAATAAAGCAAATAACAAAATAAAAATAATGTATACCCTGACATAGTTCAGCCATACTTCGTCACTATTAACCAGCACCATCTTTTGTTCATCATCCCAACCAAAATCACTTATCTTTAACATATGTTGAAGAGTGTTATATTGTTTCCTCTAAAACTTAATCTTCGAGTCGATGTGAGGAGTGGCTCGAAGATCAGTTCCAGGAAATGCACTTAAGATCTTCTTCTCACATTCATTATAGAAGCCTGCCCTAAATTGATTATTATCAAGCTTCTACTTGGGATTACTTGCGGCTACATTCTTCATGGTTGTAATGAGGAAGACTTCCTCACAGTTATTCCAAAAGCTTCGAGGTTTCCCCTTCTTACGAGAACTAGTGGTAAGAACTAGTGGTACCTGTGTCATCTATACCTATATATATATGTATATCACAAGTTTAAATCAAAACACACATGTCAATCATAAATAACAAATCAACTTACAGAATATTTGTTACAAATACCACACAAAAACTAAACAAATATGGTTTGAATTACATGTCATAATAAACTCTCACTAATAAACAAAAATCATAGACAACACTAATTTATTGACCTCTGTTTGCTTGCCATTCATTAAACATTTGGGTTGCCAAGGTTGTTCTCTATTCACTCCATTGATCAGATGCTTCAACAACGTCAGTCATTTCATCTCCTAATTCAGTAGCTGGAGGAGATGGATTCATTTCCTCATTCTCATCATCATCGAAATCCATAGGAATTTCACGTTGTATGAGATTGTGGAGAAGGCAACATGCAGTGATAATATGAAATTGAGTCTTGATTGGAAAGTAAGAATAAGTCCTCAATATTGCCCACTTCATTTTAAGTAGCCCAAAAAACCTCTCAATGACGTTACGAGCAGAAAAGTGCCTCATGTTAAAAAACTCTCGTGGAGTTGTTGGGGCACCCCATTCTCTCCATGTGGAAATATAATAACGTTGTCCTCTATATGGTGCAAGAAAACCCTCCCCATTTATGTAACCCACATCTACGAGATAGTAGTGGCCTATAATTATGTGAGATGGTTTCACTATGTATGTACAAAAATAATTGTTTAATATAGATATAGTGTACTTATATATATAACATATATAATTATCATACCAGTAGGCACTTTCCACCCATTGGGTCTACTGACAATATCTCTAAGTACCATAGAGTCGGAAACAGATCTTTCTAATCCAGGTAAGACATATATGAATTGCATGTCTTAGGAGCACACACCCAATACATTCGTGGCAATTTCTTCCTTTCTCGTTCTATACCTTGGTTTGTCTATTGCACGGCCAAGAACCTTAACATAGGTTCCATCTAAAGTACCAAGACAATTCTAATAATAAAACAATATTATAAAATTAATATAGCCAATAAAAAAAATATAATATGCTAATTAATCCAATTTGTAAAAATATTGTACCTGAAAACAACCCCACCTATCATTTGTACAATTAGCAGTTATTGGTTCAGGCTTCTTAAGTATGAGACCATGGAGGGGCACAACACAACCTTGAGAACATTATTGAAGTGCTTACTAACTGTTTGACCACTCCGCATGAAATTAAATTAAATTTTGTTGTTCTTAGTATGATGTACAAGCACATTCAAAAACATTGTTACTTGCTCCTCTAAGATGACATACTTTGAATCAAACAATCCAACACTTCACACCAACCCACATAAAAGCATTCGAAGTTGGTCATGACAATTTATGTCACTATCGTTGACCAATCTATTCAAATTGTCAATTTGTTTTCCATAGGGGTGAGATGATCTAGGTAGTTGCAACCTAATTTCTTTCTTCTTAAATGCAACATGTAAAATCACTATATACATAGCACATGCATAATTAATGGATGACACACCATGTTGGAGGGCTACAAATTCCTCTATGAGGTTCTTTTTCCCTTTCTTAGTGGCATAATTATTATCCATTTACAAAAAAAATTAATAAACAATAAGCGGCTAAAGTCAGCGCAAAAACTAAAACAAATAATAGATAATAGAAAGTGTTTAATATGATAATGAAAGTCAATTTTAATGTCAAGTCAATTTCATTTTATTTTTAATGAAATTGAAAGTGCAAAACATGCACCATAAGATTCCTGTGTGGTTAAATGACTTTCACTTCAAACGTAATTATGCATGCACAGATGTACATCAACATTCAAGTGCTCAGAAGGGATCCAAAAAAATTTGTGAAATAGTAAGATTAGAATGGTTGATCATTGTATATTCATCCAAGTAATTGTTTATAAAAGTAAAAAGGCTGAAGAAATTGACATAGCCAATCATTGGGGGGAAACAAAAAAAAAAAAAAGAGTTTGGTGAAGGAAGTTAACAAATTGTCCAAAAAGGACGCTAGCTCTTGGAAAATGAAAATTTGAAGTTCTTGGCTATATGTAACCTGTCCAGTTAACTGCACAAGTTAAATATATATATATATATATATGTATACAAAAGAAGACAGAAACAGAAGCAGAAAGTAGGAAGTGGCACTAATTAATTAGAATAAAATAACAAAAACTTACTAACAATTATAAAATAACAATAACAATTACTAAGATTAAACTTACAATTATTTACTGGAATGAAGCAAACAGTTCTTCAAAAATACATGACTTGAAAACTAATTTGAAAATATAACATTACAGAGATAGCTATTTTTCTTAAGGAATGAGCACTCAAATTTTTTCTAACTTTGCCTTATTCTTGACTGAAGAGGCTCTAAAATAGATGAATAGAGTTACTGTGAGCCTTGTGAAGGAATCTGACTTTGAAATAAGCACATGAGAGTTGTCTGCAACTTTCGGTGAGTGACTAAAGTTGATGGCTGCCTTTGATTGTTCTGACTTTGTCGGTTGAATGAATTATGATAAATGATGAATAGTAATGTTGACTTTTTTTTTTTTTTGATCAGCAAAGAAAATTTTTATTAACAGCATGAAATTAAAGGTATAGGAAGATAACATGCATCGAGAGAGATTTGAAAAGTACAAAAATACCCCTACTGCTACTACTCGCATCCATACAACCAACCCCTTGGCCTCACGATTTTTTAAACAAAAAAAGTTAACAAGGACTTAACTAGAAAATAAAATACATGCCTCCCCACAAATTCAACCCACCAAATCACCAAAACCTCTTTTCAACAAACTAAAATTATCTTTTCCAACACCCAAGCTGCTGAACTCCTCTGTTCAACCCAATTATTTTATTCACCATATCTGCAGCCCTCCCAATACCCACACCACCCAAACTAAATCTTTTCAACAGCCCACACTGCCAAGACCCACGCCTATACTGCTATAACACCCAATGCCCTCACCACCCATGCCCACACTAGGCCTAAGCTGCGACAACTCCCAATGCCCACACCAGCCACGCCTATGCTGTTGCCCACACCATGCCTATGCTGCTACAACTCCCAAAACCCGCACCTATGCTGCTAAACCGACCGAGAAAACTCCATAGCCAACACCGGAAAACTCCAACGCCTATGCTGCTGCAACTCCCCTGCTGAAGACAGATTATCTCCCACTGCCACCGCTATCTCTTCCGCTGCAACTCCATAGCCAACACCGCTAACTCACACCCACTGCAGATCAACTCACCGACCAAACTCCCCTCCAGCTCCAACATTAGCTGCCGAAGACAGATTACCTCCCACTACTACCTCTATCTCTTCCGCTACAACTCCATAGCCAACACCGCTAACTCACACCCACTGCATAACCACACACCGACTAACCAATGGGACACCTCCATACATTTGGAAGAAGTTCACCTCTCAAACTCTCACCCGAAGAGGAGCGCTCAAATGAACACTAGACAGATCTGGATCAACTTCGACACCCATGTTTCCGCACAAACAAAGCATCGATACTTCTCCACCAATCTGAACTAGAGTTCACCCCTCAAGCACCTACTCGCAAAAGAGCGCACGAATGAAGATCCTGGATGTCCCCTGATGAATCAGCTATAACGGGCCCCGAAACACCAAAAAATTGAATCTACCACAGCAACACAAAACACACCTAGGTAGGAAAATAGGGGAATCAAATTTATTGAAGGAAAAAACTAACAAACGAACGCCGGAAAGAGCTAGGCCAGCCGACCGCCATAGCCAAAGGCGGCGGCCGGCCGACCCAAAAAGAGGCCTGGGGAGGAGGTTTTTAGAGAGAGAGAAAGAGAGAGAGAGAGAGAGAGAGAGAGAGAGAGAGAGAGAACAAATGAAATTCACAATACGACATATATGTTTTAGTAATGTTGACTTTTGATGAATAGTGAACAGTAAATTTGACTTTTTCACTATTCATTGCTTTCTGATGGAGGCATGTGACTGAAGGAATTAATATAGATATATATATCAGCAACTTTTCTCAAAAGAAGAGTATTGATTGAAGCTGATAATTATAGCTATATAGAATCCAATGACTGAATTATGCATATGGGTCCTGAGCATCTTGGAACTAGGGCCTATAAGGATCTTGATTAGTTGAACCTGAAGAAGAGTGTGCACCATTTGAACCTTCTTCTGAACTGTCTTCATCAGATTGTGACTTGGCTTGGGCCATGAGTAGACAGGCTATCTGAAGAAGCTCATCTTTGGATGACTTGGATTTGACTTTGGGCTTAGCCTGAGATGATGCTTTTACTTTGGACTTGGATTGATTAGATTTGGGCTTGGCTGACTTGGGCTTGGAAGAGCTAGAAGTTGGGCTTCCAAGATTGACTGGAGGAAGTTGGCTTCCTTAGGTTATTGAAGCAGTTGGGTTCTGCTGAGCTTTAATCATGGCAGGAGTAAGAGCATGAAGGTTGACTGGAAACTCAGCTTGAACTTGTTCAATGATGTGGGGAATTTTGAAATTATCCCACCATTTAACAGAGTGTCGGCGAAAGACTATATCATCAGCAATATCATATTGCAACTTAAATATCCATGGGACTTTGTATTTGGATATAAAAATGAGCAATGTAGGAAATTTCTTTTGTTGTGGACTGAATGAGAAAATAGTAGAAAAATAATTGACTTGTTCAATCATGATGGAGGGGAAGATAGTATTAATAGCCCCATATTGAGTCCACCAACGGAGGAACCAAGTAAGGAATTATGACTTGAATTTATGATCGAATTGGAGAAACCAAGAGTGACTGTTTGACTCATTTTGATACAGAAAAACTTTGAACCATGCATCAATATAATTATAGTAACTGTATTGAATGGTATGACCAGGTAAATCGCAAAGTTGGAAATGAGGACCCCATTCATTCAAAAAGACAATATTGTGAATATATAATGAATGGTACACAATCTTACTGGTGTTAGTCCGGTCATAAATAGGTTTAATAACAATAGATTGATGGTTAAACAAAATGTCTTTGTAATAAGTAATTGACTTTTCTGGATGAAGAGGAACAAAATGCCGTCTAGGAGGAAAGTATGATTTGACTAGGTCAAGAACAGTCTGAGTATGCGGGTGACTGGGTTCTTTGAAAAAGAGATTAGTGGTATGAGATTGAACATAATCAGAACGAGCAGATTTAATAGGGTTAGGAGGGTAAGGAGTAACTGACTGAGAGGAAGATGCAAATGGATCAGTGGCCAAAGCAGAGGTATAACTAGGTTTAGGAATATTATTAAGAACTTGGTAACGATTGACTAATTCAGCAGGGTGATAATGGGTGACTAATTCCAAAGGAGGAACTGGTTGACTAGAAGGAACAAGAGCCTTACTAGAAGGTCTCAAAGGTCGCTGAGCAGACATCTGAAATAAAATAGGTGGACAAGAATCAGCATCCACTGAGGATATCTAATTTGCTCATATGGTAATCAGCACAATTAATGTAATGAGCAAGTGAATGACGGAGACTACAAATTGTATGAAAGCGAATAAATTGAGCACGTTTAGTAGATTTTTTGGCTAGTTTGAGGGAAGTAATATGGTGAGTTGTTTGGTGAATGAGGTTTCAGTAATGAGTGAGTTGTAATTTATGGTAGGAAATAAAAGGAGTTGCCATCCCTTATCCCCCCCTGTAAAAATTCTCTGGTAAGAAAATCAGGAATAGAATTTTGACAACCAGGGATATATTCAATATCAAAATCAAAAATACTTAAAATAGATTGCCAACGGGCAAAAATTTGTTTAGTAGCAAGATTTTGAACATCTTTTTCTAAAACATATTTAGCAGATTTACAATCAACACGAA